AAACAGTTTGTCACAGCCCCTCGTTTGTTGTCCTCTTCTCTCTCTCTGCCTACGGTTTACCGGGCAGTTCTATTTGTGACGATATATATATACATATACATATTTATGTACATATATCGTCAAACAAAGCTGTGCGCCCGGTAAACCGTAGGCAGAGAGGAAGGGAGAAGAGGGCAACAAACGAGGTGCTATGACAAACTGTTTCGACGGAGTTTCACCGACTTTCTACCTATTGCGCGGAAAAAAAAAAACCTCTAAACCCCGACTCCCACACACACACACACCCGTAACCCCACCCACCCATCCACCCATCCACCCACACAGGGTGGACGATTCCCAAAAAAACTGAAAAAGGAGGGGTGAAAATAATAAGGAAAAAAAAAAAGCGGGGGAGAAAAGGGGGAAGAAACAGGACGAATGGCGAACAACTCGATTCGAAGGGTTTCTTTTTTTTTTTTTTTTTTTTTTTCCCTCCCTTACCTTTTGGACCATTTTTCTTTCTCCGTTCGTTAGTCCGGATCATATAGACCCTTGTCGGACAGCTTCTTCACGTTGCGACGCACCGGCTTCCAAATAGAACGCAGGGCGAATTCACGCTTGTCAGATGCAGACATTAGGCCCCCCCTATCCTTTCTAGTCGAAGGGGTACAAGATTCCATCGAATTTCGATCATCGCTATTCCCGATCGAATTTCGATCAATCGTCATTCCTATTCTCTTTTTTTTTTTCTTTTTTCTTTTTTGTTCTGCGTTCGTAGCACAAGTCGTCGCGACATTGCATAGCAATCAGAATTTTTTATTTTTTTTTATTTTAGGAATGCAATCAGAGTTGCCGCTGCTGCCTCAGCGTTTTGCATTTGTGATTGCAACAGGCAAATCTGATATCAGTTCGTGGCCGAGAAGGATCTGGTCCCAACGGGCGACCGGTATATATCTGACCGGTTAGCCAGGGGACGGAGTACCGGTCGGCCGTTGGGACCAGTTTTTAATTCTTCCTGTAGTGACCGACCGACCTGAGCCACCGCAGGATCGGGCGGCCCCAGCGGCGTCTCGATACTAACGGTCACCTCTCTCTCTCTCTCTCTCTCTCTCTCTCTCTCTCTCTCTCTCTCTCTCTCTCTCTCTCTCTCTCTCTC